GCAGGGGGTTGCCCCCGGCCCAGCCCAGTATAGGGTACCCCCCAGCCCAGCGTGACACTATACCTCCAGCCAAGCCAGCACAGCGTGCCTCCAGTCCACCCCAGTACGCAGTGCCCCCATCCCAGCCAGTATAACGTGCCCCCAGCATGGCATGCAGCACCCCAGTTAAGCCCAGTACCCCATCCCAGTTTAGCCCATCATGACCGTGTCTCAGCCCAGTACACGAAACCCCCTTACCCTGCCCAGCAGCCACTGCCCCATCTTGCATAGGGCCCCCCCGTCCCCAGCACAGCACCCGCCGTTCCCAGTGCGCCCTTGGGCCCCATCCTGCCGCCGAGCGGGTGAGCCATGTGCGTGGCCACAGGTGTACGGCGCTGGCACCACGTATACGCACATGTGCACCCCCCCAGTTGATTGCCAATGCCTCCCACCTTCCCGGGGTCCCACCTGGACCCTGGGGCAGGATCCGGCCCCGGTACGCACTGGCAGAAGCTGTGCTGTGCTTCTCCACAAAGCCACGAGCGCTTGGCGGTGTCCCCCGAGTGCCCTGCATGCGACATGTGGCTCCCTGGGGATGGGGGGGGGGACTGTCATGTGCTCAATGTGCCTCAGTTTCCCCAGTGACACCCAACATATCCCACCACTGCTGTCCAGGCAGGGGCAGAGCCGTCCCCGCCTGTCCGTGCCCACCACTATTCGTGGTGCTGGCACCCCCTTTGTTGGCACTGCTGGCACCGTGGTGCCCTCCGTGGTATCACTATCTGTCCCTGGGTCCTGGCCAGCGCTGCGCAAAGAGGCACCAGCCCCACGCTCCCCCCGCCGCGGTGTCGATAGGGATGGGCTCACGGGGCTGGGGCACACGGGCTGGGGGGCATCACCCAGTTTTGTGGGCATGTGCTGCTAGGAGAGGACCGGTGTCCTGGTCCCGGCACTGCTGGGCAGCCTGGCCTGGCCGTGGAGGGCTGCGAGACCCTGGACTGCGCCTCGGGGCTGCCTGTCGCAGACCCCCGCCATGCTCTGCATCATCCCTGTGAAACCAGGTCTGCCCTCGCCTGTGGGGATCATGAAGCATCTCCCTGGGCTCCTCACCCGCCTGGGGGGATGTCGGGGTCTGTGGGGGAACCCCAGCTGCCCGGAGGGTGTCTGTACTAATATCACCAGCTGGGGACGGCAAACTGCCTGGATAAAATAAGATCTGACCCAAGCTACTATGAGATTCCCCTTCCCAACGTGCGAGGAGGTGGTGTGAGTTGTCAGTGAGGATGATGGCTTAAGGACATAATCCCCTGAGCCTGGAAACCGCCGTCTGCCCTGCCCACTGTACCTCAGTTTCCCCCTTTCGATTGCCAAAGCTTCGAGAGCGGGTCTGACCCTCCCTCCTTGCTGTCGTGACACCGTCCCAGTTCTCCCAGCAGGTCCATGAGACCCTCAGGCAGGTGAAGGGCAGGGGAGCAGCATCCCCTCGGTGCAGCGCAGAAGCTGCTGGGTTTGTCCCTGTGGTCATTATCACTGCCCCCTCCCCAGCCAGCCTCGGCCGCTCCTGTCCCTACCTCGGTCACCCACCGGGCGAGGGGTTGGGACTGCAGCCCACGGCAAACTGGCACTGCTGGACCGCTCCCAGCTCCAGTCCTCGGGGGACACGACGGGAACAGGCTGTCCCTTCCTTGCCCACGCCGCCCACCCGCTCCTCACTGCGCTGCCGGCACAGGCAGCCACGTCAGGCAGGAGTGGGATGCGAGGGTAACCCCCCCCAAGACCCCCTTCTGCGGATGCCCAGAGCCAGGAGCATCCTCAGGAACCACTCGCCTCCTGCCCTCCCTGGCACGTGCCTCCCGGGGCAGCCAGGATCCGACCCGGCTGGGAGACAGCGTCTGCAAGGGCAGGGTGGGGGGCACCCACTCGGGCAGCAATTTGCAGGGAGAGGAGCACTGGGCTCCTCTTTGCAAGGTCTGCCAACACGTCCCCAAGCGGTGTCCCCAAGCCGGGGATGGGACGGACATCGTGGGGGGGACGGGAAAGCTAGAACAACCCCCCTGCCCCAGGCGGACGAGCACCCACCTCTCTCGCGGACGAAGTAAGCCAGGTAGAGGTCGAGCTCCTTGACGGAGACGCTGATGTGGTGGGGCTGGACGCAGAGGATGGGGTTGGTGCACTGGCCCGACTTGACCAGGCGCTCGCCGTCAGTGCTCTCCAGTGGGATCCCTTTGAAGAGGATGACCATGACCAGGTCCAGCCGCCACACCTTGTCCGCCTGCCGCAGGCAGTCGATGCGGCGCATCTTCCCCTTCTGGTCGGGGTTGGAGAGGACGCAGCACGAGGGCTTCTTGCCCGTGATGGAGAGCACGAAGTCCTCGCGGCACTCGGGCCGGATGTCCTTGCGCAGCTTGGCCAGGAGGCGCGAGGCCCATTTCTGCTTCACCTCCGGCTTCTCGCTCAGCAGCTCGTCCTTCACCGCCCTCTCCTCGTCCTTCGTCATCCTCTTCTCGTGCTTCTTGAAGTACTTGCGCTTGCGGGCCTGCAGGTTGAACCAGGTGTAGGCGAAGGCCCGGACGTGGGGGAGCAGCGCCTCGATGAAGGGGTGGAACTCATCCTGGAGGAGCAGAGGGACAGGTGGTCACTCCCAGTCAACACCCCCCACCCCCAAAATCTACCCTGCGACGGCTGCGGAGCTCGCGGGGACCTGCTGGGGACACCCCCGCCAGGCTGCATCCCAGTGCAAGTGGGAGGAAGAGCTGTGGCAGAGGGGCATGCCCACCAGAGATGGGGAACCCCTCTCCATGCAGCGGGATCCCCCCCATCCCGGCAGTCCCCCATAAATCCCACCAGCTGCAACACTCCCAGGCGCAAGGCACGTCGCCTTGGCAGCACCCGGACCCTCTCCCCTTCCCACCCACGCACGCCGGGATCTGCTCCCACAAAAATCCCGCCTGACATCGCACCCGTCGGAGCTGCCACGCCAGTGCCAGGCGCTGCCAGACCGCAGCACCGTAGGGACGGGTCCCCCACACCCCCAGCATCCCGGGGTGCTCCCGCACTGGCTGCGGGTGTCTTGGACCTCTCCGTTCCTTCCGCACCAGCGGGAAACTCCCCCAGTTTGCCCCAGTTGCGGCCAGCCCGGCAGCTGGCGCCCGGCCCGGTGCACAAGGCGTGCTCTGACTGCCTTTTTCCATTTGGCGAGCGCTGCTGGACGAGTCTGGCCCCAAAAGAAAACAAGGAAAATGCATCCCCCCCCTCCCTGGCCCCTCCTTCCCACATCCCTT